AGAGTTTGCAGGCAGCTTTATATTCAGGAGAATCGGGCTGCAAAAATAAGTCAAGCACATTTACACAAGCTTTAAAACCTTATTAAAAATCCTGACCTTAAGTGAAATAAAATTCTTAACAGTATAAATTCTTAACTGAAATATATTTACTGCATTAAATAAATAATTAGGGAAATAACTGGGTCTTCAGCAAAGATATTTTAAGAATGGTAACAAGCACTAGAAAAATATACCTTCTAACAGGCCAAAGCAAGCACGTCTCTGGGAAACTCAACAATGAAACTGTTTGGGTTGAGGCTTGGACACACCTCAAGGAATCTGGAAAGATTCTGAACCAGAACAACTAAAACACTGAAGGTTTCCCTTCCAGAGCAGCACTGCCAATAATACACCTGCTGCAGCGAAGACCTTGACAATGAATCAGCTTTCCCCGTTTTGGATGCGTCACTGGAAGCGCGTGGGCAAGGTGAAGATGAAAAGAGAGGAGGTTATGCTTGTGTACTGCACCTGCAGCTCATAACTCCGTATTTCTCCTGTCAATAATGTTCCTATACACTAGAAAAAAAAGCTACAATTCCTCTGCCAAATGCAAGATTTTAAAGACATAGGCGTAATCCTGAAGACAGTGTTAAACAGACAAAGGCTGCACACGTTTGGTAACTTCCAATCATCCTTTCCTACTATCAAAATACCACGCAAAGCTTCAGGAGTGCACAGCGATTTGGGAATCTTAGTACTTTTTGTGCTGTAACCAAAATGTATAAATCCATTAATGCATAAATCTTCCAAAGCTATCTATGCACATGGACCTATACACAAAAAACATTGCTTTTCTACAAAAGTCACTTAATAGAGTGGTTGGCTTATTCAGAAAGGATGCTGGTCTGAATTATTTGTATCATCTCCAAGGCTGAAAACATAATACAGAAAATGTTAGCTGGTAAGTTTTAGATTTGCTCTATAATCTCAGTTACAGCATACAACTTACCATATCTCTTTATATCTCAAAAGGTTACACAGAACAGCTTATCTCCTTCAGGTTATGCACAGAGCACTTTTCTCAATGTATGTTTTCTTTATCTATTTTTGTTCTCTATCTCTTTTTTGGAAAACAGCACAAAGACACCTACACCATGGGTTTTCCTCACCTTGTAGTAGGCCTTTGCGTTGTTAAAGAGCAGCTGGAAGTCAGCAGTCAGCACGTTGACATCATCATACTCCTCCATCTTGAGCTTTTGCTGGATTTTCATTAAATCAATTGGCTGAGAAACCACTTCATAATAATCTGGCTGATTTCTGTTATTACAAAAATAGGTATTATTTGATTTTTTATGCACACTTATGACTAAAAAGTGTTCCAATACACTTGTTACAGCTAAAATATCTAGACTGCATTCTATTGGAAAACATTATTAGTTTATTGTTGTCATTTTTGAGTATAAAACAAAATTGAACCTCTCACTTCACCTACAGCACTGTCAAGGGTTAGTCTTATTAATCTTCCCAAGAAATAACCTAAGTATTTCATTCCACCATTTCTCAAATGCATTTCACAGTCCAAGCAGTTAAGATTTAAGGCAGCTGTCATATGAAACATTTTGAATTCAATACTTTTTTCTTTTTGACCAAAAATTGGCACACTCCTTTGAAAAATTACATCAAACACTCTGGTCAAACCCCATTGTGAGACTGTGACATATTTAGCTTAAATTCTTCCTGGCCAGCTATGCCTTACCTTCGTTTTGGTGCCCTAATGAAAAGCTCACAAAGGAGCCTGCCCTGTTCATCTTTGTAATCTCTGATCGTGTTGTAAAGCTCATGGCATACAGCAATCTAGAGTGCAGGAAAAAAGAAAAGAAAAAAAAGTAAAAAAAAAAATTGTCAGGAGATAACAAATCAAGGTCTGCTCACAATGAGTAAGTCAAGGTGCCATTGTACAATGTGCTGTAATGTAGAAGTGTGACAAACTTGTTGCATCTCGTAAGTTAGTACTATATCTGCCACTTTCAGATGCCGTGGAATCTTTTTTTCTTCTAAAAACAAACAGAAAACCAAAAGGGAGCTTTTTTTCAATGCTAAGTCTAAGAATATATATATATATATATATATATAAATTAATTCAGTGCTATTCTCCATGGCTTATAGCCATCAAACACAACAGCACGGGTTCTGCTGCACTGCCGTTAACTAAAATTAGACTGCTAACTCAGAGGCACAGCAAAGACATTGTATAGTTTAGCAATGTACTTTGCTAAAATGTACTTCACTGCTTTGCCTTTTTCTACTTATCTCCTCTGAATTTGTTATTCAGTCACAGCTTTCAACTGCTGCACTTGGACTTAAGCTCTCTCTCCAATCTTCTTTCACCCGCTAAAATAATTGGCAAAAAAGAAGGAAAGCGGGAAAGAGAAGGACAAAATTGTGGAGATAAGAACAGCAAGACAAAGCTGAATGAGATACTACAGGCGCCTAGCCAGGGCAGTGCCACATCCGAGGCATGACAAGCCACTGCACATGTGCCAGTGACCATCACGTGTACGGCAAATCTCATGTACCCTGGCTGAGCCGGACCGTCTGAGCACGCAGTGCGAGAGTCAGGGATACATATTCCCAAGAAAAACATTGTGAATAATAGAAAGGTACTAACAGGATCCACAGTTGGGAGATTGGAAAGTCTCCTCCTCTTTCTGCTTGGGCCTGGGATATTTGTGGAGTGGTGGCCATCATCAAAGTCTCCTCCGCTGACGCTGCTGGAAGGCGAGGTGGCTCTTCGCCTCTTGGAACCCATGGAATCCAACTTCTTCTATAATGAAGACACATGTTCTTAAACTCATGACAGAACACCTAAACTCGGGATGAGCGCTACCTCTGAACCTAGTCATGCTTTAGGATGGCTCACATAAATTTGTTACCTGCTACAATTTATTTAAACAATCTCTAAATACCAGCCAGCTTCTTGAAAGCTGACAGAAGTAAAGGGTAATCAAAATTGTCCTGCAGTTTTATGCTGTCACTGTATGTCAGAAAGACTGGGACTCAAACAGAACGATAAAAATATATTTCACAGTTCATACTATGATACTTTCTTGAACCATTTGCACCTTCTCATGAATGGGATGAGGACTCAATTAAGTGTGGGCTCCTATTATAAAGGAGAGAACCTGTAAGGAAATTAATGCTCAGTTCCGATGGAAAACCATGCTATGTCATGCCCAAAGCAAGCAAACAAACAGAAAAAGCAAATGACAAATTAGAATTCGAGCTGATACTGAATACCTTGTCTTAGAATCACACCGAAAAAAGGCCTGGTCCATCGTGTGACCCATGACTCCCACTTTAAGTATAGGACAAATGGCATAGTCATCAGGAAGCAAAAAAACTAACTCCTCGTTTGGTCACAGGTTTTAGTTGATCAACACCAACAGCAACAAATAAACAGCCATCCAGCAACAGGAGATTTGTGGAGCAAATTGTTGGCTCTTTCCCAATTTCTAATGAGAATATTACAAAAATATCTTGATTTGCAGCTGCCTCAAAGGCCAGAGAACAGAATGGATTCATCTATCCCAGATAGTGCCCATTTTCTAAGCAAATCATGGGATTTCTTCTAGGAAACGCTCAACTGATTTTACAAGGTATGGCATTATGACGTAACTGCATGAGAGCACTTTTATTAGAGACAGAATTCATTTCAAGCACACAAATGAGATGAACAGGAATGAAGCAGGAGTAATTAACGGTTAATCTAATGAAAAGCAAAGCTTAAGGTAGAGGAATGGAGCGAATGGTGCACAAACAATCAATAATTTACCAGATTTACCAGAGTACAACCAGCACCTCGAAAAGCCAGTCTCCTCATAGTGTCTGATGGCCAAGTTAAGATACGGGGAGAAGGTAAAACTCAGAGTATCAAATCAGCAATGGTATTAGTACAGTCAAAACTGAAAGACAAGAAAAAGGAAAGGAAGATTGAAGAACCAGGGAGTTGATAGATAAAGAGTAACACTAAAGAATAAATTGAAGGACAGTTCAAGAATAAAGTGAGAAGAGACAGAAAATGAAGGAAAGAGAAAACAGGAATTATTTTAGCTTAACAAAAACTCTACAAAGCAATTTTGCATAGACATTTCTATAACATTTACATTAAAAAAACACATTTTTCTGAAAGTGTATTACAGATTTCATAGTCACTTGGAAGGGAATGATTCATCAGTCAGAGCAGTGAGTAAATAGAAGCGATATTTGATCTGAGATTAAAAAACAGACAGCAGTAAAACTGGAGGAATGTGGAGTAGTACAGTGATCACAAACAGAGGAGAAAATTTATGTTCCAGAAACACTTGTCTCTCTAGTGATGATGTAACCTCCATAAGTCTGCAGAATGGATTTTTATCCTTGTAAGCAAGAAACATTAAGTACCTGTCCCTACAGTTTCACCAAAGATATACCTCCTTCAGTTTCTAAGCAGTCTTTACATCTGATTTTCTGATAAATTTCATGCAGAATGCACAGAATCATTTTAAGGCAAAATAAGGTGACCTTTAGTTCATGTAACTATTGTTTGTAAACAAAATCTGGCAGAGATTTTTGATTTTCCTATTAACCATTCTGGTCATTTTCCTAATGGAGAAACTTTGAGCTTTACTCGCAGGCAATTTTCTTAAGCAGGAACAACTACCCTGTGGCTTTTGGCAGTGCCTACGACTTTCAGCTGACAACTACAGTATCAAATGGCCAACACCAGGCTTGTGCTTGTGGAGACAGCCAGAAAATACAAATTCTTGCTTGTGAAGAAAGCCAAAAGCAACTGCTCAAACCAGTATTTCTAGACAGCACTTGAAGCAGGACACATGGTCCATCCATCCAGCATTAGCAGAGACCTGGGGAACCCCAAGCCAGCCCTGCCTGTGAATTTCACACAAGTTTCTTCACTTTCACTATCCCAGGCACATACAAACATTAGTAAACACTTGTCAATTTTCCTCTAGTAACTGAGAAACATGCAAAACTTATACCACATCCTGGAGATTGAGTACACAGGGAGAGACTCGCATAAAGCTCATACGAATGTCAACGTCCAAACACAGGTAACTCTGATGTGTACAGAAACGTAGGCTGGATATCATGCGTTGTAGTCTTTCTTCTCTGCAGCGTAACAACCAGCTCACAAATCTCGCACAGGTTGCACCGAGAACCACCACTGCCACAAACAACCCATCTCCTGCAAACAACAGCTCGAGCCCATTCTTAATAAGGGCTCGTGCTGGCCCTAAAAAGGTCACAGAATGTTATCTCCATAGGACACTCTTTAGGCAATACTAACATATATCACAGTGTGGGAGACAGCCCGGCCCGAGAGGCTCCACGGAGCCAGTGGTGAGTGTTATTATCCAGTCCAACCCCAACTCAGAAGGTTTTTATGGGCCTTGGAGATAACGTGTGTAGAACAAGGAGGTTCGCGCCACATTTAACTTTCTGCCTTCAAATAAAAAAGTAAAAACAAGCAAGTAAACAAAAGCTACCCGGAAAACGCCGATAGGTGCAGGGAAGGCAATTTAGGATTACCACATTTCAAAAAAAATGAGCACTAAAGAGCGGTAAACACAACAGCGAGGGGCGAGAAGGCTGCCCAAGGCCCCCAGGACGAGGAGCGGGGACTAAATAGGGCCGGGGGCGCCACTGGGGAGGCCGAGACGAACAAAAAGCCCCTTCCCGGGCCGCGGGGCGGTTCGCGGCCCGGCGGGAACGACTCGGCGGCAGCGCCGGGCCGGGCC